GCAATTATGACAATAATGGATTGATGAAAGGTTAGCTGCACGGGACGAACTAGCAACTTGAGTTTGAAGGTCCAGTTTGATGAAGTGCAGGACACGGAACATGAGGGTCTTCCCCGGTCATGCTGCGGCAAAAGGGCATATCCTCATAGGGCATATCCTCATAGGGCATATCCTCATAGGGCATATCCTCATAGGGCATATCCTCATAGGGCATATCCTCATAGGGCATATCCTCATAGGGCATATCCTCATAGGGTAGCAATTAGAGTTGGGCCTTTCTTCCCAAGCACGATGGAGTTACACCCAGGAGTCCTTGCTCACCATGACCGCCGCGAAGGCGCAAACAGAAGCCGCTGGCTATTTGTACCTTGTTGCCAAAATGTCAGTCCGAACTTCGTAAAAGAGAGGCGATTGACGCGATGAAAAATTACATTCAATGATTCAATTTTATTTAATGTTATTTCAATTGGATGCAAGGGGACAATCAACTAATACTTACGTACTCTGATCCCCATCGATCTCTAGATCCAATCCTCTGACCCACTTCGACAAAAATTTCTCGACTGAAAATTTTGCGCCCGCGCAACAAGGCTCCCTTTCCTTGCTGGCGGTTGACTTAAAAAATGTCGACATTTTTTGGGAGTGAAATCAAAATAACCCATCACAACGATACAGAGGTTAAATAGTTGGTTTTCAACGGTTCAAAGAAATAGAAAATGTTGTCCAACTTCCGGTGAAATTCAATTCAATTTGCTTGTGAATAATGTTTTACACAAAGTTGGGGCTTCACCTTTAAAATTTTGACAAATCCAAAAAACTGAAGACGAAGTTTATGATATTTTAAATAGTTGAAGGTACATCCTCTTGGCCTTGTAACTGTCAAAATAATCAAAATCATCGAAATCATCAACATTTTCAATCGCTATAAAGAACCAATCTAAAAAGACATGTCTTTGAAATGTGCGCAAAGTTCACTCGGACTGCCGCATTCTTGTATTCTGGCATCCATCGATCTCTTTAAATCCCAATTTTAATCCTATGGTCCTGGAAAAAAAGATTTTCAATCAGATATTGTAAATATAGCTCTACGAGTGCGCAGCTGTACTAAAAAACTAAAAACGGAATGGCTTGTTTCGAAAAATGCCCAACTCCGAAGAAAATAAAAAACTGAAAAAAAAACATGTCGACAAATGGAAAAAGCTTTTGACACGAGGTATTCCATTTCTGAAAAAAGTGTGGGGCACGAGCCCCAGAAAACACGTATGAAAATGCATAAAACATGTATTTACATGTAAAAGAGGGCTTTGTGGAAATTGAGCTAGGCCCGACACGTCACAGGGACGACGTATACTGCCGTGCTAAGGAAGAACGCTGTATGAGCCTTCAGGCCTTGCCTTTACCCTGGCAAATCACTCATTTTCAGGGACATTTTTTAAAATTTGTCTCCCAATTTCTCAGATAATTTTGTTCCTAATTTGATTCAAAACTTTTGAAAATTTCAAGAAAATGTATTCAAAATTGTGAAGGAAATTTGGCAACTTTCGAATGTTCATACGGCGGTCTTCCTCAGCACGGCAGTATATGACGAGGGTTTAAATGAACTCCTCTTCCTGTCCCGGGACCCGGCAAGGTGGCAAGGTCGTTGTCGTTGTAGCAAATTCGCAGAAACATTGAACAAATTGCCAATGTTTATGTTCGTGGAGTTGCTGCAAGGGTAAAGGATTTGTGGAATGTCTAGCTATGGGGTCCGAATTTTGCTGCCACATCCCGTACCCACCCTCTAAATTAGCCATTCTCCAAAAGGGATCGGCCGACTCGCACTGATTCCCAAAAACATGCTAAAACCCCGTTCTATATTCTGAGTCACGCCTTTTTTCATTTCTTTCGATAAAATATTTATTTTTTTACAACATTTATGTATGTTTTTCCTTGAATTTTTTTTTATATTTTGCATTATATTTGCAAATCTCGTTTTTCATCGAAGGATATTTGCTTACACCTAATTGTTTAAAGAGCACTCTTTCCGATTATACGAACCTTCAGCTGCATGGGTTGTGCATAACAAGAGTGTGGGGAACAAAAATATTTTGAAAATTTTCAACTCATTTTGAAGGTTTTTACAAACCATGGAAAAGAATTCAGGTCTTTGATACACTATTTATCAGAATTTCAGGTAGAATGAGGTAACTACAACAAATCGTATCCAAAACTAATGCAAATACGAGAACATAACGTGGAAAGGATCCCAGATTGAAAATGAATACATACGGATTACGCACATTCGAGATCACAGTGACAAATTTCCAAGTTGAAGATTCCGTTTGCAGAAAAAGATTAATGCCTGATGTAAATGGACTTTAATTACTTCCAGTGTCTAAAGCAACCTGAAACATACCCTCACCTCTGATGTCGAGCAAAATATAGGTTGGGGAGAGAAATAAGGTGGAAAAATATGAATAACATGTGAATTCCTTCCGTCAATTTTTTTCCAGTGAGCTGATGGAGGCTTAATAGGTTTTTTCTTTTACCCTTTTTTTTTTAAAAAAAAAAAAGAATTGTTGAACAATTTAGTGGTACCGGCAAGCTCATGTAGGAAAGAAATGGATTTATTCTTTATTTTATAGATGTACTTTAAATGTTTCCTAGTTTTAAAAAAGGAAACCTCCGTCTCGCAGGCGTCTGTACAGTCCCAAGTAAAAGGCGAATAAAAACACAAAAAAACAAAAAATACAAATACATTTTTAATAAAAAGAGAAATCTGATGTGTAACAAGTCGTCTTTAGACTCCAAGGTCTGAACTTCCCGAAATTTTGGTGCACTTGATTAGAATCAAGAATAATGAAAAATCAAGGCAGGATTTAAAAACTAAAAATTTGAAGTAAAATGCCGAACTTGGTCCCAATGATCTCACGAGCTCTTAAGTAATCTTTTGAAATTGAAAAGGAAAACCGTGGGCGTTGGCAGTTGCACTTTCGAAAGGAAATTACAGACATCTTAAAAATTAAGTGAATGCATTATAAACGAGACCAACAAAGCGGTTTAGCACTAAATTAAAGCAGGCTAATGATTTAACGAGGGTTCAGCTATTTCAGCTCTTATCCGGTTAATCCACATTCAGATAATTGATATACGATCTCGAGAGAAAGTATGAATTTTTTGTGAGGGCGGGTGCACTCAAGCACAAGCCACTAAGGGAGCGGGTTTCTCCTGGAAAACGATGATAATTAAAATAAGTCAGTAATTAATCATCAAGTTTTCCGGAAAAATTCGAAGCTTATCTTGTATCGTAAAGTTAAAATTGAAAACGTCAACTTTAGACAAGACAGAAATGCCACTAGTCTTTCTTTCTTAACAGAAAACAAGAGGAAAAATTCAACATGCGCATTTCATGTTGGAAAAGCGTGCCGAGTATCTGAAATGTTGGACACACACCTACTATTTTCATGTCATTATATTTCAATTATATTGGTAGGTTTGCAAGAACTTTACCTCTAAAATCCCTTCAACGCCTCGCTTATGGACGTTCCGCGCGCTTCAAATCACTTGACCAATCAGAAAATGGATTATCCGTCTCCAATGCTTTCTTAAACGGCGATTTCAGACCGCATTTCACGGATAGTCCATTTTTTGATTAGTCGATAGCTTCTCCGCGTAAGAAAGGAACACGGGTACCCGCCGCAGAGGCATAAATGGACATATTTCTGTCAAACAGAACTATGCGCATTATGACGTGAGCCCTGTTATGCATGTATTCTTACGAGTATCAGGGCTCATGTCTTAATGCACATAGTTCCGTTTGATAGAAATACGTCCAACTTACAAAGCGCGGATCCGCCTGCAGACCGTATTTCTGGGTAAACCTCGATAAACTCCCCCCACCCCCCCTCCCCCACGGCTCGATTAAGGGATTCAATTTTAACAAAAAATCGAAGATTCAAGCAGGCTATTGGGTGCCCCTAGAGCCATGCCCCCTACATTTTCGCCACTGACCCGCTTTTATTCTAGGTTACCCTAGTCACCGGGTAAAAGGTGTCTATGAAACATTTTGGAACAAGTAGATAGATACAAAAAACCTGAGAGTGTAGAACTATTTCAATGGACGTTTTTTTACGTTATTATGTAGGTTCGTATTCATAACCGTTCCTCAAACTGCTTTTTTCCCCAGGAAGCCCCCAATGGGTTCACATTGTAATTAAATGAAGTTTTAGGAGTCCCTTAACAAAAGCACCATAAAAAGGACATTTTCAACAAACTTCAAGTAAACTTAAATTACATAACCTTGTAAATAAACCTTATCAATAGATTACGATACTATTTCTCTTTAAAATAATAAAAACTATAGAACAATCTTCACATACCTACTGTCGGTCAAACTCAGTATGTGGCTCTATACAAATTACGAATTGAAACAGTGCCCAAGATGTTTTCTCTTCCAAATTTAACGACAAACTAATCACGCAACGAAAATCAACTCCGAAACAAGGTATAAGTGTTTACAATGAACATTTGTGAATAGTCTAACTGCCAATAGATCAGTGTTAAAAATATTTGCTAATATCCCGCTCAGGAGTTGATTTCCAAAATCCCTGTTCAATGATTCCTTTTCTATGTAAGATTTTGAAGAGAACTCATGGAATGTTTATATCTAGTTCAGATCCTGTCCAGTGGTCTATTGTTTCCTCCGTCTTTTTTATGAATTACATGAGCAAATAATGGTTGTAATCCCTTGCAAGGGTCTATTTACAGAGCTGTACTCTTGAATGTTACTCGGGATTCGTAAAATTCCTCTCCTGTGCTTTGTTGTAGATGGGGATCCCAGAAAAATAGGCTGTTAAAGAAATGATTACGAATTGGACCCGTAGCTCCGTTTCTTCGTCTGAAAAACGACGAGCTGAGGCGGTTTTGAGTGTGTTTCCATCTCCGACTAATTTTAAGGAAATCATGTTTCATTCGAAGTGTTATATAACTCTGTGTTGACGTTGTTTTATTTGTGTCCGCAGCGGAGTTCCTATCAAAATGCAAGAGGAGCGATCCGAAACTCAACGAATGCATAATCAAGCTGATCAATGAGCTTCGACCGCAACTGGCCAAGGGTAAGTCCCATCACTTTTTCCTTTATCCAAGTCCCACACGTTGACGTCAGGAAATCAATAGCGCCATTTTAGTCTGTTTCAATACTGCCAAGCTAAGGGAAAAAAGCGTATGAGCCTTCAAGCGTTGCCATTTTTTCGTTAGTAAAACTCGAATTTATAATGAAAATCCTGAAATTTTATTTTCGAATTTTTCAAACAATTTTGTTCGCAATGTAATCTAAAATATCCAAAAATACCGTGAAAACATATGCATTACTTTCTTTAAAAATAAATATTTTGTCGGGGGAAATTTGGCATCATTTGAATATTCATACGGCGTTCTTCTTCAGCATGTTGCAATAAATATCGGACGAGAATATCTCATCGAGTTGGCAACACCGGCCAGGACTGGTAACACCGAATCCGAACTCAACCGCAGGGTCAAGTTGAAGGATAAATTCGAATCTTTTTCGAGCGTAGGTGCCTAAATAGGCAGAGTATTGGCGCATACTTTGAGGTGAGCAGATTCGTGTGATTCGTGAATCTATTGATTACCTTTTGAGCTGCCAGGACTTCAATTGAAGCTGATTTGAGGTACCTAACTTTAAGAGAGAGCACAGCGCACAGCCCGTTTCTATCGGCTCCTTTTTTGAGGGACTCGAGGGAGGCTCTGTATCGTTTTCAGTGTGGTTAAAATGTTTAAGAATCCCTTCGACGTAGCGGACATTTCCCACGAAAAAGCCGGTGCAAAAAATATGTACCGCAATAAAAATATTTTATGATTTTAGAAAACTTAATGGTCTGTTGGGGCATGAATCTTTGGCAAAATTTGTAATACATACATATGCTCTTTCGTATCTTATGTCTTTTGCAATAATTCATCTCTTGCAAGGGTCTGCTTTTGAAATCAAACTGATGTATGTTACTCAAGTTTCATGAAAATTGTTATTTTTATGATGCTACGTTCGAAGCATCCTGAAACCCTCCTTCATTAAAATGTAAACCTTACGGGATCACGACTAGGAAGGAACTTTTGAGCATTGGCAAGAGTCTCAATGCACTCACTGGAGTGCCGGTAAAGTCACTTTTTCTTTTGTCCAGTATGATGAGACTAGTGCGTGCCGCGACTGGCGATGCCGTATACGTGGGGTCCAAGCTCCGGGCTTCGCTTAGAAAATATAGGAAATTTATTTCATCAAAACCGAGAGTTTCGTACATCTCTGATTTTGTTATGACTTTGGTCGACATAATTTGCCAACATTCGCAAAAATAATCTTCGATTTAAATGAATAAATCCCGAAGACCACCCGCAGCCTGCACTTCTCCAATAAGCCGCCGTGTTAAAGAATGCCGTTTGGTTCACACTTTCGGCGAACAAGAGGCTCGGAATGGCCCTGTCATGGATTGACTTGATTGGCGATCCGGTACATTGCGACTCTATGTATTGTACTCTATGCTTTAGAGCAACAACTATGAATACAGTTCTAGGCGACTATCGATACATTGTTAAGTCTTGTTGCTTTCTCAATTGGACGTATTTCTATCAAACGGAACTATGTGCATTAAAACATGAGCCCTGAGACCCATAAGAATATACGCATTACAGGGCTCACGTCACAATGAACATAGTTCCGTTTGATAGAAATACGTCCAATTATTGGAAAAAACCGGATCAAATTGCGCCAAGAAGCACATGTTAGATGTTCATTCACAAACAGTCTATTCTGTTGAACATGTAAGAAGTCATCCGTAAAAGCGAAACTCTGAATGGCATGTTGCAACGAATTGCACATACCTGTCAACGTTGAAACTGCAGGAACGTGTATACTGTTCAATATGTTTCAAAATATCCGCTTCCGCTTTATTTTATTACAGGGCAACAAACACTGTGACGCTGTTGCATAGAATGTTTGTAGATCCTTCTTTACATTCAGAAAAAAAATCAGGGACGTTTTCTAGCAATAATGCTTTTCAGTATTTTTCCATTTATGAAATAAAAGTGTAACGAACAGTTTTCGATGTCTCAAACGGGCAAACACATTCCTGATGCGGTCTCACCGACGAAATATCGATTCTACAGAGTCAAAAATAGTGGTCCCTGTTTGGAAAGTAACGTCCAAATAATGTGCGCCTTCAGTTGGGTGGCTAGGCAAAAACACATCCTTCATGCACGTTAATACAGATTATGTATAGTTGTATCCTCAGAATTGGGTCGCCTTACGCGAAAATGAACACTTTGAGAATAGTGCTGTGGTAAGGAATAACGCCACAGGAACATTCGCAGGTTGCAAGGTTTCATCCTATAAAATATTTATTTTTGAAGTGAGTTAAAAATTCCGTGAATGTTTGAAATACTTCAGATCTAACCGCAAATAAATTTATCTAGAAAATTCGACGAAAAATGTTCATGAGTTTCCCTAAAAAATAATTTTTTATTTAAGGAAATTGCGCAACGTCCGAGGGCTCATACGGCGTTCTTCCTGAGTATGGCAACGTGAGAGCCATAATCGAATCGGTCATTCTTAAAAAGATCTGATCGCTCGATCTGACAATACGAGAAAAAAAACCCGTTTAAATAGACCCGTTCCAAATCTAACAGCTTCAAAATATTAAAGCATTTTATCGATTAATCACATTATTACTAGAAACAAGGTTTAAAAGGGATCGATCATATAATTTAGTGTTTTTCTTATATTTTCATATCGGGCGTATAAGTCTTTTTGAGAGTGACTGATTCAATTCTACCGACTGAGTAGACACCGCGCCTGCGATTCGGGCTCAATGATTGGCGCTTCAGATTCGAAGCTGCTAGCCCCGACAACAAATCGGTGTTTTCCATGACAAAAGAGCGTTTCTGCATTTCAACATTGGGCGTATATTGCTGACAAGTTAGTCATGTTTCGCTCCTCTGAAATGAGGGTGTATCTCTGCTCCGACATGAGCCCCGGAAAGCATAAAGTGTTCGGAGAAGAAGGCTCACATTATAGGAATTGAGATGCACCATTACGTTAGAGGAGCAACAATATACCGAAAAAAAAGAAAAAAAAAACATTTGCGTCAACTTTACAACCTTGGAATGAAGAGACGTTCATTGGTTTGGGAGAGATGATGACCTTACCAGTTGAAGTATGACTAGAGATCTAAAATATGTATCGCATACTTGTATTATTCTAAACGGAAAAAATATGAATTTGCTCTTTCGTTGATACAGGTATCCCGAGGCTTCAGGTGCCACGACTTGAACCTTTGACGATACCCAAGCTACTCATCAACAGGAATCTGGAGAACCTTAAAATCAAAGCTAACGCTGAGAACGTCACCATTTGGGGCTGCAGTGGCTTCGTCATCAACAGTCTCAAGTGAGTATACCGCTCACTCATCAGCCACCTGTAGGATCGCAGTGTAGAGCAGCACTTAAGATTTTTACACTTAAGATGCACTGTGCAGTTGGACATCTGCCTGGTGCCGCACAGTGGATCGGGTCAATTAGAGAGGTTGGACATGTTTGTGACTGAAACTGCAAATTTTTATGGTCATTTCGTCACATTTTAAACTTTAACTTTAACTTTCTTGAGGAAAATTTTACGTGACAACCAATAGAATCACTTTTAGAACCTCAAAGTTTTGTATAAACGGTGTCATGAGCGTTTAAAGTGTCCACATTTTGTCCGACCTCTCCTATTGACTCGATCCACTGTGTGCCGTTCAGAAAATGGACCAGTGGCGAGTTTCCACTTTGCCAACACTGTTTTTCTTCCGTTTAAATCATCAAAAATATCGATATTAGGTGAGGCAAGGAGCCTCACCGAGAATCCATTGTTTTGCTTACATATTTAAATGGAGGAAAAACAGTTTTACCAACTCTCAAAAATCGCCACTCAAATGGACGTCTTCAAATCAAAGGGAACTATCTCAATTGGACTGAGTTAAGCAGAAAGGAACCAAACCCACATTTTGGAAAAAATTGAGTTATGAGTGGTTTTGAACTCAACCACTGCTCTACTATCTATCACCAAAAATTCAAAGTTTTTGTTGGAGCAAATTTTGTAGAAATTGAACTTGAAGTTTATCTTTTACATTGAGTCTTATGCAGGAGCCAAACTTTAAACCTCTTTTTCTCGGTTCGATCCCGATGTGGCTTGGTTCCTTTCTGTTTAACTCCGTCCAATTATGGCATGGACTCTGTTATGCTCATACTTGCGTTTCAGGGTCCCAGTCGAAAAAAAGACAGTTCTTTTTTTATTTGTATACATTTAGTACAAAAATATAAATAGCCGCTGTTTCAAAGTTACTGCACTTTTCGTTTCAAAGGTAGTAAAATCTGTCAATGGTTTAATGGTTCAATCTCAAGACTAGGAGCCATATTCATGTTCGGTTCTTAAACAGAATCTCTCCGTAGGAAGTATCCTTTGGGTGGCATTGGATATTCATAGTTGTTCCTTACCCAGCTCCTTTATTTAGAGCGACCCATCTGCTTCACATATCCACTAAGGGGGCCTTAAGGAAATCCTTAACATAGCGTTATATAAAGGACAATATTTGCGAATCGAGTAAAATCAGTAGCGCAACTCTGGAAATGGACCTTTAAAAGGTATAAAAATGATTTCATATTTCCAAAAAGTACAAAATATAGAAGAAAAATGTATTTGATTTGAACAACCTCTGAGTAAGGAGCAAACCTTAATATTTTTTTACAAAATTGAGAAAATTGGCAAACATGCATTATATTTTCTTCTGTATGTGTACTTTTTGCCGTGGCAAACCATTGTAACCCTTCTGGAGGGTCCATTTCCAGAGGTTCACGAATAAACTGTACTGAACATTTGCCAAAATTGTTGTTCTCATGATATAGTATGTTAAGGATCTCCTTAGACCTCCCTTGCAATTAGTTACAATACAAATCATATTGAGCCTCCCGAGGAAAGGAACTGATTAGCATTGAAAACAAGACAAGGAGCTTGATAAGTCCAAAAACAATGCGAAGGATTTGTTTAGGGAAGGAACATGCTACAGCTCAGATTATTACACTAAGAGCGTTAAGGTTTTTATAAAACAAAGTGAGAAGAGGTGGGGAAGCGAGCAGTAGCGTCATTTCTTCGCCCCTCTGACGTATAGATATACACTAAAAAAAAAAAAAAAGATTGGTAGAATTTACCATTCCTTTACGCTGTGTGAGATACAGCGTGAAGGAATGGTAAATTCTACCAATCTTTTTTTTTTTTTTTCAGTGTAAGAGCGTATCTCAATTTGCACGTGAGCTCTGTTTTTCGTATAGATCCATGCTTTCTGAGGCTCATACGGGAACCTAGATGCGCCCTTTCGTCAAAGTAGCGAAGTTTTGACCCCTGTACAAGAAGGCAAATTAACAGGAACCGACAAGCGCACGCGATAAAGTCTCAATCACGACCTTGAATCCTGACGAACTGACCTTGAACTTCTTCATTTTCTTAATTATCGGAGCTTAGCGCGGCTGACTCATGAACTGGAGTTAGTCCGGCTCAATGTTGCCGCAATGCTGCCGCTACAAGCTCGGACTCATCGCTTCTTACCGAGACAGCGCCACATTCGGCAGCTCCTTATTTCAGCACTTGCTGATGAGTTTTGGTAATTTGCCAGAGATTTCCCGCCTGCCAACACCAGTTGGACGTATTTCTGTCAAACAGAACTATGTGCATTACGGCGTGAGCCCTGTTATGCATATATTCCTACAGGTCTCAGGGCTCATGTCTCAATGCACAAAGTTTCGTTTGGCAGAAATACGTTCAGTTCATGGGTATAAACAGACACCTAGGTGCTCGTTTAATAGTCGCTATTCACTAATATCGTCTACTAAGCGAGCGTTATTAAGCGTTTATACGCAGTAAAAGTAACCGACTTTTTGTGTTGATATGAGTAGTAGAATACAAAGTAAGCTAAACGTGCTTTTAATATTCTTCTATTATTTCTTCCTTGGGTTTCATTCACCAAATTTTTGGGTAGGAAATTTGAAAACAACCACATTGAAACTTGGGTGCGACCTGCCAAGATCAAACTTGGATCGCATTGGGATGTATTTCTGCCAAACGGAACTATGTGCATTATGACGTGAGCCCTGTTATGCATATACCCTGATGGGTCTCAGGGTCCATGTCTTATTACACATAGTTCCGTATGGTAGAAATACGTCTATTTGAGATGGTCCACTGAGCTAGCCCCTTGCATGTCGCAATCTTTGAGTGACGAAGAGAGGAAAAAAAGTGCATTACTTCAGCAGGACACTTTCTTCATTCTCTGATGTCTCAGAATAACATACGGTTTCTGTCGATTTAACCAAACATTTGGTCGATCAACCAAGTCCTTTAGGTTGATCTGGCCGAAAAAAAAGTAATTCGATGTAATCCAATGTAGCCTTAGGCACGGAAAGTTTTAACTGTGTACGTTGCACGCAAAACCCTATTCACATTGTTTCTATTAGCAGTGATACATTTTGCAATGTAGACATTTTGCAATTTGGAGCTGATACTTTGGCTGACTATCTTTTCCGCACAAAGTACATTTGTGGTAATTTTTCTGATTATCGTTGCCGCACAAATAATTTTCTTAAGTATATAGCAACGTCGAGAAAAATATGAGGAATATTTAAGAAAAATGAGTGAACAAAGACTGAAAAAAATTTTTCTTACCTAACTCAGCAGTCCAACAGGGATCGTCAGGGTCCAGATTTTCGTCCGAGAATTTTCCATTCTTTTCATCTGCGTGCTTATACTTCAACTCCTTCTTAATTCTTGCTATTTCTTCCATAAATTGTTGATCTAATTTATGCGAAAATGATTTTGTGCGGCAACGATAATCGGAAAAATTGCCACAAATTTAATGTACTTTGTGCGGAAAAGATATTCTGCCGATATTTTAGACTGATTTTCAAAGCAACGTGTCTGCTACTAATTTTACTACGTGCACAATTCGGTACATCACTTACGCAAGGAAGCCGACGCGAAGATAGCTACTTGAGGTTATCGAAGCCCCTTCAGTTTTTCGTATATGCGACATGGACATCCCCGGAGCACGAATAGTTGCATCAACGCGTCAGCATTGCAGTCGATTTGACTCCAAGTTTGGTCCATCAACCAAGTCCTTTTGGTTGATTTGACTCAATAAAAGTAACTCATAATAACCCAAAATAACAGAAACGCGGGAATTTTTAACTGTGCCTAGAGCTGCAACCTGATTTATACGTATTTGATTGAAGCCCTTTATAACATGACCTTCGACGAACGAAAAAAATAAGCAGCAACACCATCAAAATCAGCCGTAAAAAGCAAAATCGTCAAAAAAAGGTGATTGTGTATATGAATGTTCGGACGTCACAAATGAAATTCTTGCAGCTTCTAGAGCATGTCGACATATTTGCACCCGTTTGAAGAAAGATTTGTTTTTTATGCGTCTATTGGAAGGAAACGGGGAAAATTCTATTTACCTATTTGAATTTAACACACGGATGAGTTATTTTTAGCGAGCGACAAGAGGAATAAAAATATTAAATAAAGAGTAAGAATGCATCGGAAAACTGTGCCACCGTATTGAGGAAAAATCGCAGTCTGTCATACGTAGCACGTTGCCAAATTTGTCTGTATATAATATTCATTTTGTAAAAAAAAAACGATAAATATACTTCAAAAAGCATACATAGTAATAAATCCTCTCGAAAGTTTAAACAAAGAAAAAAAAAGAAATTATCCGAGGAAATTTGACAATGTCCGACGTCGCATGAGATGTTTCTTCCTGACATGGCATCGAGATTCAGGTGAGTCTGGGAAATACGGACACGTGTTGTTTCCTTGAAATGCTAATGCGCAGATGAAAATGTATTCCAGGCGTTGACCCTCCTACTCAAGAAAAAATTCACCCAACAAATGCAGACACTCGGTTTTGTCCTTCCAGAGCTTAAAAAATCCGAATAATCCGGCGGTATTTCGAACCCCTGTTTGAAGACCAATTTAAGAAAATGAGACGACTTACGAGGGGAAAAATAAAAATACGCAATATAGACAAGGCTGTACAGTAGCGTGTCTCCAGACTATGCAGCGTTTTCCTTTTCTTGGTGTCAACAAGTAGAGACATACATTTTAATATTCTTTACAGATTTTAGTCGACTTTAACTCACTGACGCTTCCTAAATTTTAGTACTGTAGGAGATATTACTTAAAATTCTCAAACCTTGATAGTCGTAGCTCTGAACATTTTGGGAGGGAAAATGTTATACGAAAATGATAAAGAGTCCAACTTTGATTCAGAGCATAGACTCCTAAAACCTTCATAAACAGTCTTGGATTGTATCCTGTGCGGACTGCGGCCGCGACAAAGCTATACAACTAATCGTGCGAATTGCTGACACGGATACAAGTAAATTATATCACAATCGAACCAAAAAAAAAAAAATAAAATAAATGAGGAAAACGCAACGTAACCGTTTACTTTGTAGTCTTCTTCCTCGCCATCAGTTTTTAAACTATTCTTCTTCTTCAATATTCACGTGCTTGCCTGTCCAGATCTTAATTACGTTTAATTGATCAATATGTAAATGTTTCGGAGTTGTGTAATCACGAGTTATTGAAAGCACTTCTAGATTGTCAGATCGTCATTAATTCACAGCAATAGCATGCATCACTGCATCTATAAACTACCAATTTTGTAGGTTCATTAGCTTAAATCCAATTGAACAGCTTAAATGATGTTTATTTTCCTGATACAGAGACATCTTCCTGAGTAGAATTTGCGAGGGATCGAGAAAAATTCCGACTAAAGCGACTATTCGTCTTAGGTTTCCGCTTCGCCACTCAACACGAAACAAGCTCGAAAATTTTAAAGTGATTTTTTTCAGTATCTTCGCCAAATTTTTCAAAAATTGATTGTAAATACATTTTTAATTTTTAAGTGAACTTTCAAATTCTCTTAAAGCCTTCTAAAAAAACATCCAAGTACAGCAAAAGGCACAGATTTTGAAGTTCGTACCTCAATTCGTTCTTAAAAAATACAGTTTTGTCATTGTTAATATTTTCTGAAACGTTCCTTTTTACGTATATAAATCTGCTTTGTGTACTTATGATGATATGCTATGTTGGAAGCATATAGTAATGAATTGCTTTTGCCCACAGTGTTGATCCTGACAAGCTGAAGCTGAAAATGGCTTTGACTCTACCGAAACTTTACGGAGAATTCAAGGCTGATTTCGACGGCAAAGTTCTCAACTTCCCCATCAAGGGCAAGGGAAAATTCAGCGGGAACATGAGTAAGTAGTGTCAAAAGAATCAACTTGAAAATAAAAGGATCACCCGTGATGAAATGCACCACGAAGAATTATTGTCTAATCTTCAAATTGAGGAAGGAAGCTAGGCATTATTCGAGCGATTGTGGTGCCTAAAAAATCAGGGAGGTCATAACGTCTTTTGGTTGAGCAAAGGCAATCATCTGATTGCAAGGAGGATACGCCCTCTGACCGCGGAGCGGCCCAACCCCCCGAGAGCGCTTCGCGCCCCTTTGAGTTATTCTAAATAGAACACGCTTATCTAGGGGCTATTTCCTGTCGCGTCCTGATAGCCGGAAAAAGTATAAAATGAGACCAGTAGATATTTGGAAGGAGATGTGACAAAATATGAGCATTTACATTGTTTAAATGGGAGAAGTCACAACTTCATGACGCAATATGAAAAATAAACGTTTGGGTCATATTTCCAAAATCTGAAAAAAAGAGAGGGCTCATCTTGGAAAACCTGTCAATAACCGTAAAAATCGTGATACCTGCTTCGAAAAATGGTAGAACGAACTACGACAAAAAATGAAAAATTAGGGGCTCAGAGAGCCTATAGTAATGTCATGCCGGATTTTCGAAACCAACCCTATTTGCTGGTTCACCAAGCAACAAGATTTAGCTTTAAAATGAGTTTCAACGATAAGTGATATTCGTTAAAAAGTACCTAACCTACGGCCAAACCTAACCTACGACCTACCGCTCAGCATATCATAGTACGGATATCTTTTGAGCTTTAAATTTTACTCAAAACAGGATTTGCTGAAAATGAAAATTTTATTTGATGAAGACGCAAACTTCGATTATTTTTAGTTGTTGCACAGGTGTTGTTTTTAACGAAATCTTTGCAATTGCCAAAATTCAACCTACAACTAAAGTTTGTAGCGTTTTGCATCGACAAAAAGGCAATTTTGAGAATCAAGGACAAAAAATGTTTAAATGGCGGGAGAATTCTGCCACTCAGTTGTGGCAGGGCGCACAGAGAAAATGACGTTTTAAGATTTGAGTTCGTAGGATGAGGCGCCGTTAGGCTCTTTTGCGTGTTTCACCGAGCATCGCAATTTCATCTTCTAAGTAATTCCGCATAAAAATCAATCTGCATGCAATAAGTCCGATTTATGTTTTAAAAATATTGAACTTTATAACTGGTATTTTACTTGTAATTTAGTATTTTAAACGTCTCAAAGTTATCAATGAGGAAAAAAATTTGAAACACTGTAGTAGAACTCACCGAAAAATGCTCCAAAAATACGACTACGATTAATAAAAAAACTGCAACAAAATGAGAGGAAAAAAATTTGAATGAGTAAAAATCAATCAGTCAAAATATAATGGATAAAAATCAATCATGAAAATTGATTGTGATTTCCATTTTTGTGTGAATAGTTGGGTTTCAATGACTTTATGTTCATTGAAGATTGAAACATTTACATTTTTGAGCCTTATTTTTCTCCATAGTATATAAGTTTAAAGGTCATTTTTTTTTTTAACAAACTGCCGTGTAATTTCTCAAATTTAAATGAATTATTTATTAAATATCACAAAAATGTCACTCAACTCAGATGTATAGAGTCTCACAATAATAGAATGTTTGACATTTTTGCAAAGAAAAGCGGAGAAAGGAGCGATAAACTATTTTTACAAGTAGTTTTTTGGCTATTAGCTCATGTTGTAATCAAAACGTCTTGGCATTTTGCAGCAAATACAAAGTGTAATGTTGAAGGTGATGGAACTCTAGTCAAACAAAAGGAAGGTGAATTTTTGCAACTGAAGACTATCAAGATCAAGGCTACCCCTGGCGAGATGTCCAACATCAAGTACAAGAGCACCTCCAACAGCCGACAAGACGATGCTTTGAGTATGTATTTCATACAGTCTTAAATCATTCACAAAATATAATTCACGAGTTTCAGTTGCACAAGTCCCAGACTTACAGTCTGATAACTGATCTTGGGATAAATTACTTAAAAATATGTAAAAGGTCGATTAAAGCCGCTCTACAGCGCTCTGCGACTCTCAACCGCCTTAGCTCCTCCCTCAGACTCCCTCAGAGCTGCTTAGAGCTGTTGCTTCTTATTTTTTTAGATTAAAGATGCGATACCCTTTGTTTTATGTTATCTATTGGCAAATTAATTTCTCCAAGAAGGTTACTGCGCAGTTAAACATTTTCAAGTCACCTTATCTAGGGCCGATTAAGGCTTTTGTCAAATGCCAAGGCCCAGAATCGATTAAAATTCTCTTTCAGATTGAAATTCCGAATTTCGCACAAACTGTCTTTTAGATTGTATCTTTAATTATTAGTAGGTAAGAATTCTACGTAAAATTACGAACCACTTTAGGTCTTCCTTTACGCTTGCGCCTTCCGTATGTTTGACGCTTATAAGAACGATTACTTCGAAGTTTTGTCGTGTTTTAAACATTACAGAGTACTTACGAATTTGATTTTTGAAGCTGACCAGAGACTAAACGACGGAGTTCTTCTCCAAAATGTAGAAATCTGTGTAAATCTTCAAAATGAGACCCCCTCCCAAGACACTTGGAAAAAATGCAAAATTTTAAACTGGCTTTTAACCGTTATATCCTTAACATTCCGATGCATTAAAGTTCGAAAATATCTAGGATATTTTGAAGAAAGAGGCAATCATTTCTTCGGTAATACAGGTACATTCGTCTCAAAAACTGTAAGTGCTTTTAAACTGCGCAATATTTTGCCCGGCTGAATGAATGGTTTGAAATTTTAACATCTTTCTTTACATTTTTGAGTCATTACAGTTGAGTGGGAGGCTGGGAAAAACTTGATAGAAATTTAAAATTTAATAACCATTCTTCATTTTTGTTGGCTACTGAGTCGTGAACTATTACTAGGGGGCTATGCCCTCTGGCCGCTATACGCGGCCAAACCCCCAGAGGGCGCTTTGCGCTCTCTTATAGACCCGCTTCGACAAAAGAACGACCAACAAAAATAAAAAGATATTCATACCCAACTCTCTATTGTCCAAACTCCCTTTAGCCGGAAGCGATTTGACCAATAAAAATCGAATAAAAAAACAGGGATTTATTTCAAACTTTACTCGAAGAATGAAACGAAACGGAACCGAGCATTTCGTCGCTTTTGGATAGTCTGTAGCACAGAAGCATACCTTCAATTCACTTACCCTACTAATAACAGACCGAGATTCAACTTTTCCCGCTTAGTTCAATTTTCCGCTGAATTTGGAATTCCCACCATTTTTCATGGGCGGAAATTTCATATTTTGCCCCCCTTTTCATGCTCTCTGGTCTACCCTTATATAGGAAAACCTGGGTCATATTTTCAAAATCTGAATATAGCGGGCTCATCTAGGGACAATTTATCGCCTGTCAGTAGCTGCAAAAATCATGAAAATCGGCCCGGTAGAACGCTGGAACTAAGCGTTACCAGATACGCAAATTTAGGAGGTCTCAGAGCCTATGGTATAGATAAGCCCTCTATTTGATTGATACAGTTGTAACGTTATACGGCGCATTCAATACTTTTCTAAAGTATGTAATATTGAGAAAGCACTCTAAATAAATGTGAGTCAAAATTAAAAGTTGACACTCCTATCAGTGATTCTCAATTAAAAAAAAAAAAAAAAAAAAAAAAAAAAAAAAAACACACACTATTGCTGAGGAGATTGAGATGAAATGAGCTTCATTCCGCATCGAATCGCGGATGTCTTAATCTACGAGTTTAACGAGCCTCGTCACGTACGTCAATGATTTCGACACTAAAATCTATTGTTTGAACCAACACTATTATTTGTTGCCATGGTCCAATCGTATTTATTATCAAAACACATGATAATTGTACTCCACGTGTCAATGATTCACTTTATATCAAACAAGCAAGTGCAGTTTTCATACTGCACTTTAACATGATACATACAAACATCGGTAAACCGAAGAGCTTTCATTCTCAGGGCGCGTAAAGACTTAAGTACCTGATGAGGAGTGGCACCTATTGCTATCAGAACTCGGAGGGAAGCTGAAGAGCGCTGTTTCCATCAGTGGCGTGACGTGCTTTGCGATGTATCGATTGAATCCCCGTTCAAACCTATGGTAAAGGATCGATAGACAAGATGTTCGCAACGAACACCTTAACAATCGATTCTTGACCATAGCTTCAATGAGGGAAATATCGATAATCGATCATTCACCACTGGTTTCCATATTCATTTATCTTCTTCATATTAATATCTGCGCAGGAAATGTAGATGAATGGTGTAATTAATGATTCATATTTACCTTATCGAGCGCAGTTAAAATCCTACGTCACCGTGTAGGACTAGAAAACTTTGAGAATGGCGATTTTTGAAGTTGACAAAATTGTTTTTCCTCCATTTAAACCCATGTAGAATACCGATTCTAGATGAGGCGGACTCCCTTATCTAGATGAATTTAGATTGTTTTATACATTGCTAGAGGTCTTTCAGGAATTACGACATTCGTCAGTGATCAAATAACTACAATAAACATTGAACAATGCTTACTTAAAAAGTAAATGCAAGCAGTGGAAATAAATTAAAAGAAAATACAAGTATGTTAAGCAAGTCTAAAAACGCAGCACTATGAGTTTTAAGCCCTATATTCGTTTAAATATCTCGCCATTTCGCCACCAATAAAGGATTTTTCAATTATATAAATGTAACTGCTCTAAAGTGAAGCAGATAAATTGAATGCGAAAAAATTATCGGGGTTTCGCGTCAATTTCCAATGCTACAAATCTTACTGCCTCTATAGGAGATGAAATTGCATAACTAATACATTGAAGGCGAATATTTTTTCGATCACTCGCGTCAATGTTTGAGTACTGCAAATCTTAGAGATCCCAAGATATGAAACTGCGAATCTATTTTCGATTATTCGCGTCGTCAATTAAGTGGTGAGTCGCCAACAGTGCCAACTCCAACGGATGCAGTATAAAATAAAATTAGGCATGTCATTTTTGTCAATACATGACTGGTGAGAAAGCAGGACGCTCAATAGATGCGCATTAGACAATGTTCGCGAATATATTGGACGGATTTGATGAGGATCGTCTGCAATCGTAAATGTTGCCTCATTTCTTTTTATATTTGCTTAATGCTTTTAGAATTTTTAAAGCTCCTTTGAGCACTCTGAGAATGAAACATTTCGCAGGTTAAACTACCTAGAACTTTGAAATTTGAGGATCAAGCCACGCAACTTTCTCTCAAGTATTCTTAAAACACCAGAAATACCCCGTGTCATGAACGAGAGATATATTAAAGTTGTGCCTTTTTTGTTTGTTTCAGTTCAAACAGCTAGGACTTTCTTCAAAGAGAACAGGAAACAACTGGAACGTATGGTAACTCCGATTGCGGAAGAAACAGCAGTAGAAATAGTCAGTCAGATCGTCAACAACATTCTGAAAACAGTGCCGTTCGAAGACATTCTCAAACAAACCGCTTAAATTTTTTCACCACTCTTACCCTCCTTTCATGTTCACCCACCCACCCTTACCTCCCGTTTAGTGATATTGTTGAATTTTATTTATTTGCGTCGACCCTCGATAAACTACATTTTGTAAAATAAATGTTGATAGAAACGTAGTTTTCCTTGTTCTATGATGAATATCATATGGACATCATTCCAGTGAATAAATAGATTGTGCTACATGTCGACAGCAGAGGCAGATCTAGTAGGTTGGCGGTACAGGCTTTTCTTCATTTAAACCCTGTGTTGAAAAATCGATTTTTCTTGGAACAACTGCGGGAGATTCTTGAATCGTTATCGAATTACCTTGATCGATAGATAGCATTGTCAACATAGAAATCGATCAAGTTTTTTCGATAACGATTCAATAATCGACCCGCTGAATCGATACATTTTCGTGGTTTATATTGAGACAAAACTATGTTGCCAACTTGCTGGATTATAAAACAGTGGATTGAGTCAATTGAAGAGGTTGGACATGAAATTTTTATCTAAAACTGCAAATCTTGATGTTAAATTCGTCACATTTTAAATTTGAAGGAGTGAATCTTAAAAGAAATTTCACGAGGAAACCAATGGAATCACTTTTAGAGCCTCGAAGTTTTGTACAAACGGAGTTATAAGCGTTTAAAGTTTCAAAATTTTGTCCGACCTCTCCTATTGACTCAATCCACTGGGCGCCGCTGCGGTGGTGAGACTATAAAAACGTCTACTTTGGTTGCGATGTTTCCAAATTTTCGTTCAAACTTCATTTTTAAAGAAAGTATTACGAATAAGCTGTATACAAAATTTTCAGCAAATATCCTTGGAAGGACATGGAAATATTATGCAAAATGCATACAATAATGATAAACATTCGTCATCAAGAAAATTAAAATGTAATTGGGAATTTGCAACATAGCGAATCGAAATAATTGCTTTTGTAGTTCCGTCATTCATGTTGTATTGCTCTCTGTTAAACTCATAATTTTTTTATTGTACGCGAGGAGTTACAGAAAAAAATAGATCTCCAAGAAATATATCGACGGTGAAACGTTCAAACGACGCACAGTGAATCGAGTCAATTGGAGAGGTCGCACATGAAATTTGTGACTAAAACTCCAAATTCTGATGTTTATTTCATCACATTTTAAATTTTGAGGGGTGCTTCTAAAAGAAAAATGTATAAAAAAACCAATGAAACCAATTTTGGAATCCTAAAGTTTGTATAAACGGAATTACAAGCGTCGAAAGTTTCCAAATTATGCCCGACTTGTAAAATTGACTCGATCCACTGTGCGACGTATCTCGTTTGCGGTGTTTCAAAATTTCTACTCCAATTTTATTTATCTTTTTTTGCAGAGGAATAAATCTGCATCATTCCTTGAAGTTTTTTTTAGAATTTGCCTCTCGCAAAGAAGAAAAATAATAATATTGATCTTGTGTGGCTCTCCATTGGCAAAGTAAAGTATGACAGGGAGTTCGCAACGTCGCAAACCGAGACACATCATCGGGGATGTTCATCATCGATATGCTCGTATCAAACGTACAGCATCAAATTTTGAGATAAAAATACGTAAATATTTTAAGGGGTATTACCTAAATATTATAAAGTTCGATTTATCGATACCCTTGTTCGCACAGTAAAGCCTCAATCTAATTAATTTTGGGAATTCTGGCCTCAAAAGTTCGTAATATACTTGCGAGACAAGAACATACTTCAAGAGAGTCCGATAATTTGTAGTCATAAATCAAATCGAATATACGATTTAAATGAGGAAATGCCGGGATTCACCTCATAATGAGAGTAGACTTTTCAAAATTGACAGATCTTGAGTAAAGTTTTAAGAATAAATTAGGACTCTCAAAAGTTGTGCGCCGCTCAGAATTTTAGGCTCCTCTAGACTACAGCCTATGCAACCTATTGCCAAATCCGCCCTCATCCACTCCTAGTACCTTTTACTTGGACACCCCGACCCCCTCCTTGGCAATTTTTGAATTGTTCGGCCTCGCTTTCTCCGCAAAATAGTAAGGACCCAGCGCCATTTTACCACCTTATAACATAAGATAAGGGACGCATTTTTAGTGTTTCTTTATTGGTCCCTTTCATATTGAACGATGACAGTCGTGGATTTCTGCATTGTTAAATTTGGACGTATTTATGCTGAAAGGAACTATGTGGAAAAGGAAAGCTGGGGTGTGCTCGTGGAGGCTGCATCAGAAACAATGTGGTCAGTGGATATAGTTCCTCATGAGAAAATGGAAAAGCGGGATTTGACATTAAATCAAAAGGAACTGAGCGCTAACTCGTGAGCCGAGGGCATGTGACGAGAGCATTGTGGACAGCGCTCATGAGTTAAAAAGTCCTGCCACCGATCTCCCACTCGTGTTCGCTGTCCCCGGTTGCCGCTGACGTCACTGGCGCTTTTAAATTCCCATTCATTCTTATGGCCCGAGCACTAAGGAGCACACCCCATCTTTCCACTTGCACATAGTTCTAATTCGCATGAATACGTCCATTTCGCAATGTTTGTTTGTTTGTTTCTAGTTCAATGGCCCCTGATGAAGCTAGGGAGGGTGGAGCTTGGGTCCATTAGAATTGTGAGTGAGATACGGACGGCCGGGGCATCGCTGGCACTATGCTTGTATCAACAAAGAAACACTTGAGGCAATTCAAACAAGAACAATGCATGGCTCGCTTGAAAAAGGGTGGGATTCCCAAGCGGGTAATGTTAATTAAAATCCATTCCATTAAAAATTATGACCCGCGCGAAAATCGAAGCTGGGGGCTCGTCCCGTTCGAGACCTTGGCACATTTTGTGCAACCCAATCACAGATTTTGTTTACCTCTCGGTCACATCCAGATTGCTCAGTGGGTCTCAAACTTTAAAAACAGCAGATACCCGGCGCGGCGTGTGCATCTTTGTGAGAAAGACAGTAAAGACTGTAAAAATCATTTCTTTGTCTCCGGGTAGAGGTAAAGGTGTAGGGATGATTCGTCGAGGTAGTCCGACCTTACCGAAGAAAGTGCCGCTCTATTCTACAAGAAAGTGCATCGTGAGAAAGAGAGCGAGAACATGCTCAGAGTTTATTAAAAAAAGATTCTTAGAACTTTTCGCGCCCATCTCCCAACTTAGGAATGAAAATAATATTTGAAAAAAAATAACGTCACAAGTTTTTTTCAATGTAAATAAAATAATTGCTACGTTGATTACAAGAACAAGAATACAATTGTTGTATTTCAAAAATCATGTTTTTCAACGCAATGAATTATCTGAGTTAAACCATTATAAAATGCGTAGTTTCGGTTTGACTTATGGTTGGACGTGCAAATGAATATCTATACTGCGCCTTCATTTTCACAAGAATACGACAAAAATACTGCGTGCAGCAATTGTTACCTATGTGAAAAACTGAAGGGAGTCACGGTTTCAATTTGAAACCACCCGGGGTTTTTTTTTGAATCTTTTAAAACCCCCTCCTCGACTAGAAAACATGAAATATAAAATGGTAAAATTCAAGAAACCCTGAGACCTTTTAGACCTATGTTATCTCGAGTGGGGGTCGAGGGGGTTTCGTGTTTTTTATAATTTGATATGTTTTGTTTCTTGATTGAGACCATCCCAAAATGTCACCTGTTTGTTATTTCTTTATTTTTTAGCCTCGGTTGCCCATTCTCTTGTGTTTTGTTTAGTCTAAAGCGAAGTCAGTTTTAAGACCAAAAACTTCAGTTCCATGAATGGAAACTGTGGTGTAGCCGTATGCGTCCAAGTTTTCAGTTTGGGCACGATGCAGGTATTCCATAGGGATTATCCATCTGCTCAAGTGGAGGATCAAGACCCACATGTTGAGAACCACTCATGTAATTGCAGTCGAGAATCGTCTTCTGTCCATTAGCCCAAAACAAACACCAATTGTTTAGGCGCTATCGATAAAGTGCCTCCGTTTCCTTAAAAGCGCGAGTTTTGGATCGATTATTTTCATAAGCGGCTCGAGAGCCCCAAGTGATTTACCTGGATTTTCTCATACAGTGATTTAGTGTTTTTGAGTGGAAGTGTGAGGATACTCTGGAGAACTTAGACCTGCGACTAATTGAAACTGAAGGAGCACCGTGAGCAGATATCGAATCACGGAATAGCATTGCAGCCTCCAGCTGCTAACCCACTTTAAAGTGAGTGCATATACCTTCTGCTTTTTGACTTGCCTCTATTCTTGAATGTTTTTCCGAGACTACACATAGTAGATTTTTGGTTCAGCGGCAACTTTGTATCCGGGTGGTTTCACCATAACTTATCATAACGCTTTCCGAAGATTAATCACTCTACTTTTCAATGTTAATATTTAAATAGCCGAAAATGTGCTGTCTGTTACGCTGACTTTTTATAGCGTAACAGACAACACGTCTTCGGAATTTACTTGATATTAATTGAAAAGTAGGGCAATAAATAATTAGAAAGCGTTATAATACGTAACCTTTTGAAGATTAATGCAAAACAAATTGAGTGATAATCATTTCTACTAAAAATATGACCGAAACATGTGTTGTCTGTTACAGCGACAAAACTATTCCAGTTATCGTGAAACCACCCATTCCCTGATTCAAATCTGTCAAAAATTGTTACATTCCCAAAAAGTCTGAAAATACCCAACTTGCTCAAGAACTCTGATTTACTGAGGAGCTACTCAGATTTTTGCGAATCTCTGTCCCCTGAAATGTCGTTTGTTCTCTGAGGAATCCCAATTTCGTTCTTCCTTTTTTGAGTTTAGTTTGTCCCACGAAAATATTTGGCAACCTATAAACCGCCAAAATCTCGCAGTAGTAGTAGTAGTAGTAGTAGTAGTAGTAGTAGTAGGAGTAGTAGTGTACCAAAGTAGAGTTGAATGTAATGGTTCCCAGGAGAAAAAGGTTTATAACTACAATGTATTTCTTTCAGAATTATCACGAGAAAGCAGCCCACCGTACAGTGGATCGAGTCAATTGGAGAGGTCGGACATGAAATGTTTGACTAAAACTCCAAATTTTAAAGTTTTTCTCGTCATATTTTAAATTTTAATCGGTGCTTCGAGAAGATAATTTCACAAGAAAACCAATGGAACTAGTTTTAAAACCTCAAAGTTTTGTATAAACGGAGTTATAAGCTTTTAAAGTTTCCAACTTACGTCCGATCTCCCTTGATGACTCGAACCGCTGTGCGCCGTCGGTGGCCTAACTAATTTCCATGTAATTTGCAACTTTTTGAGTTGTCTCTCTATCGTTTGACATTGTGAAGCATATTGAATTTTTTACACGAGTGGAAGCGTAGAACCTTCTAAGAGTACTAGACAGTGATCATGAGAGTGACTTGACTTTCCAAAAAATATAAGTCAAGAACCTTTTGCTACAAAGTGCTGATGTAGTGCATTTAAAGTAATCACCCTGGTAAAAATTGGCAGTAGAATCTGTGTTCCAAAATACCACAGACCTACAGCCGGCTATAAGATTTCCAATATCTTCTATAGCCGGCTACACAATTCCTAATAGCCTTTTATAGCCGATGGCGACTAAGCAACAGCCAGGCGATAAAGTGTACCTATGCTAAACGTTACTAATTACGGATGCTAGGACTTAGTGAGTTTTTGGAAGACTTCTCTCTTTTTGGGTCGTTGCATCTTGATTTATTTTGCGAGGAGAGCTCCGTACTTTTGATGGATGCCTGCTATTACTAATATATTAGAGCGCCTTCAGTTTCGTAAGATACTGTGCAATACCTCTGGTGTGAAATAGTTGATTCAAGCGCCGTGGCACGCTGCGGCGCGGCAGGCGGGCAGCCACTGCAGCCAGCGCGAAACACGCATTGGCGCCTACAAACCTAACAGGAATACTTCACGCGTTGCGCAATGCGTGAAGTATCCCTGTTAGGTTTGTAGGCGCCAGTGCGTCGCCGCTCAGCTTTGTGTTAGGCTCTAATATTTAATCTGGCGGAGTCAGCGTTATTCAACTCATGATTTTGAAATGTTTGCACATCCTGTATGGGTTATTCTCATTTTAATTGATGAAAAAAAAATATGTATTACAGGAAAATATAATGTGTGTTTTGAAAATATTAAGGTAGTTCCGTATCAAACTTAATGATTTCCAAAGCAAACGAATTTCTACACAATTTCTTATAGCCTTTTATAATCGATGGCGAAAAAGCAACAGCCAGGCGATAAAGTGTAAAGCCCGGCGATAGGAACTATAGCCCGGCTGCATAATTTTTTATCGCTTCGCATAGCCCGGCCGTATGATTTTCTCCGCATTCTACAGCCAGCTATATGATTTTCTTTAGCCTTCTTTAGTCGGCTATAAGAATTCCTATGGTATTTTGAAACGCAGCTCTTATCGTCAATTTTTACCAGGGCAATAGAAAAGTTCGGAATACTGTATGACATTGCAGCTTATTTTCAGGAGATTATTATTTTAAATGAGACCTAATAAGGGTGCGCTCTAAGATTTGGAAAAAAGTTCAACATTTTCGCAGTAAAGAACGTTTTTGAGTCTCTTTGAATGAGAGGTGTTCGAGCACACAACTGGAAAGGGCTGCTTGATACAATCAAGATATTTCGCATTAATCAAGAGATCTCAGCAGATTTTAACCTCCTAACCAAGAAAAGATGATAGCGTATGCGCTCTGCGCATGCGCCTGATGAATCTTTAACAGAAAAACTGACAAGATTAAAAAAAAAAATGAAAGCAGGATTTTTTTTTTTTTTTTTACTGTATCGAATACGAGGTTTTTTCATAAAGAATCCTGCTCTTATTTCTCTAAAGTTTGCCAATTTCTTGGTTAGAATTGGCTCACGCGCAGGGGCTTTCCTCCTTTTTTGGCTAAAATGTCTAGTCCATCAAGATTTTTTACTAATGATCGATGATATCTCGTACGCCAGTTCGACCACGCCAGAATCTGGGACGAGTCATCTTCATTTGGACGTATTTCTATCAAACGGAACTAAGTGCATTATGACGTGAGCCCTCTTATGCACATATTCTCATGGGTCAAAGGGCTCATGTCTTAATGCACGTGGTTCCGTTTGGCAGAAATACGTCCCTTTATGGTGTCCATAATTCTTGACCATGCTCATTCCCTGATTTTCAGAAGCTCATTTCTTGATAAGAAAACGAAGTCCCCCCCCCCCCCNCGGAATTTTCTTGGGGAAAAACCAAATAAATCTTTTTAGAGATATGAGAGTCGATTTTTTATATCTTTCAGCCGATTCTCTGGCAAAGTTTTAATTAAAAAAGCGCTATCGGTTTTTACTATCTGGTCGGTGAAAACTTGATTTTCATTATGATGATGATTTCATTATTCAGATATGTCATTCAAGAGTTCAATAATGACGGCGGCTCAAATGCTATAACGTAAACCCTAAGAACAAAATGTGTTTAGAATTCGGGCAAGATTTGAAGAGAAAATTGCTGGAAGCGCTAGAAGAAAAGATTTCTGCTATTTTGTAGCATATTGCACAATTTTCCTAACACTTTACCGGCACTATGAACACTTTTTTCGATACAAATTAAAATGCAAAATAATGCAATGCAATTAAATTTCAAATAAAGAATGCAGCGATGAAATCTGAGGTGAGATTAGATGATCGAGGGAACGAGGGTCGTGATAATAAGCGCGCCGACGCGACGCGCGGCTACCTTCACGCCCAACTTTTAACTTTTCCGTGCCCGTCTCAGTCACCTGAAGATGGGCGATCCGCCCGAAATGGTCATCGTCCGTAAAGAACAAAAGTAAGTCATCTAATTGCAGGTATTATCGGTTTTTGAATTTTTTTTTTAATTTTTATCGAAAAAAGATTCCTGGTATCCGGAAGAGATGATTTAATTTTTTCTGGATTTTTTTATTGGCGGATGAATCCTGGGTTTTCCCAGTCCTAGAGACCACGCCTTAATGCGAGGGAGAAATGGACGTAGTTCTGTCAAACGGAACTAAACGCCAATTTGAGTTCCTTTTGAGGAATTGAGAATCCCGGATAGGGCGTTCTGTCAAATGGAACTAAGCGCCATGGAAAAGCATTGCGATTATAGGACGGAATAAGCCGGACACCCGATTCCGCCGCCAATCAAAGCCTCCCTCTACCTTCCTCACCCTATGGCGCTTAGGTCCGTTTGATAGAAATACGTCCAAATAATGCTAACTCTGATTCCAGAAGGAGAAACATGGGTGCGACTCTGTTGCTAATGTTAGTGATGCTCTCGGCATGGCGGCTCGAGGCCCAGCGAGAGGAACTGGAGGACGTGGAGGCGTTGGACTGGTGGCAGAGGGGCGTCTTCTACCAGATCTACCCGCGCTCCTTCCAGGACTCGAACGGGGACGGCGTCGGGGATCTGCCCGGGATCGGCTCCCGGCTGGACTACCTCAAGACCCTCGGGATCACCGGCGTGTGGCTCTCCCCGATCTACCAGTCCCCGCAAGCTGATTTCGGCTACGACATCTCCGATTTCCGCAAGATCGACCCCGTCTACGGGAGCCTGGCCGACTTCGCGCGGCTCCGCGACGGCGTCCACGAGCGCGGCTTGAAGCTCATCCTCGACTTCGTGCCCAACCACACCTCCGACGAGCACGAGTGGTTCCAGAAGGCCCTCCAGAACGACCCCCGCTACGCTGACTACTACGTTTGGCACAAGGGCAAGCTCCTCGAGAACGGGACCCGGACCTACCCCAACAACTGGTTGTCCTTCTTCGACGGCCCCGCTTGGACCTGGAGCGAGCAGCGGCAGATGTACTACCTCCGCCAGTATCACCCCAAGCAACCCGATCTTAACTATCGCAACCCGGCCGTGCTCCAGGTAACGTCTTCAAACAAAAATAATCATTCTACCAATCCAACGGGTTATTCATATTGAGGATACCTTCAGTAAAGGGCTTGTATGCTACCAAGGCTGTTAAACATATCCCTCTATTTCCATGTATGGTCAAAATCCATCACTGCGTATCTTTATTGCGGTGTCTTACATTTTCCGTTCCTATTCTCAACAACAAGTGAAACAAGTCAACTTTAAGACTTGAAATATGAACGGAATATTCTGCTACCAAAGAGAGGAGATCAAGGGAATTCTAAAAAAATTACGTTGACTATAGTTTTCGTGAGGAAAAATAAAGTAAAGTCTTAAATTTTGTCGGAGATACATGGTTTCACACAATGTCCATCAATAAACTGCTGACCTACCCAAAAGCTCTGGGATACGTGTTTTTTGTTTTTTTCAAATGTTTTTTGAAAAATACGCTCTATACATTTCCTCATTCTTCAATGAAGATGATTTGGGTGTAACATAATTAATTTTTGTAAAAATTGTGTTTGAAACTACATAATCTTAGTCACCCTTTTGCCTAAGATATCCTGCTCAATACTCGGGTGTATTTGGATAGTCTCGATTTATTTCTGGTCTTGAGCGTGGAAAGAATGACCGCAGGGAACTTTCAAAGGATGGTGAAGTATATGATATTGGTTTTGAATAAGTCTTGTGCACGCAAGAGGTACAGCCGTGTGAATAGAATTTGTTTCTTTCGTGTTGCAAATCTCATGAAGTAAGTTGATTGCAGCGCGGCGCCTACTCGTGTTTTACGAATGTTGTGTTGCGTGTTCAAAATTGGAAGGCTCTCCCACTTTTCTTACTTCTTCAGAGATGCGTACGACACTTGTCGGTTGTAGCATTCAAGCATCTGAGTATGTATATAGGGAGAAAATTGCAAGTCAGTGACACGAGAGCAGAGTATCCATGACATATAATTTGGTAATTATCTCGACCTACGAATATTTGCTCACGGCGCCTTGATACAAATATTCGTGTTCCACGGTTACGCGTGTTGCATAGTCAAAAATTGAAGGCTCTTCGGCTTATCATATCTTCGGAAGTGCGTTGGAATTTGGAAAAGTGTGTTTCAAAACCACGCAAATTTCTCTCGAAAAAGTAGGTTTGAGGAGCTTGGAGGACAAATCGCACGAGTGCAGTTTTTACTATTTCGGTAAATACGTGTTTGAGGTATCGAAATCGCATGGATCCTTATGGCGGAAAGAAAGTACAAATTGACTTTTTGATGCTTAAAAATTGTAATATCGGAGGGAATTTTTCACAAAATATGCATTGGGATTAGTTTTACTTGAAATCATTAATATCCCAATTTATTTAAAAACTGCACATATGCGTCTTGTCCTGCAAGTCCTTCATTTCATACTTTATTTTAGCGTGATCATCGTGATTTCCGTGCCATTTTACCCGCACTGGAAAAAAAGTCGCTTGGATCTAGAGTCCAGACTCCTAAAAACATTGACAAGAAAAAATACTCTTGATTCAATTCAATTTTTCCTTAAATCGAAGAGCCGAGCTACTTGACTTAAGCGGATTTCCTTTTGATTCAAGCGAAAAGTCCGATTGAATCGAGAGTATTTTTTCTTGTCAATGTTTTTAAGAGTCTGGACTCTAGATCCACGTGAACTTTTTTCCAGTGCGTGAAAAGTCTATACACAGGGCTGTATCTGTTGGAGGCAAGAGGCCCATTGGAGCTTTTTGTTGTGGAGTTTTGAAGTGTGTGCTCGTTGATTTGCAGGAGATGCTGGACGTGATGAAGTTCTGGCTGAACGCCGGCGTGGACGGCTTCCGCGTGGACTCGGTCAACACCCTCGTCGAGGACGACCGGTTCCTGGACGAGCCGAGGTCCTTCCTGCCAGGCGCCAGACCCGGGAGCATCTTCTACCACAACCACATCTTCACCCAGAACCAGCCGGAGACCTACGAGATCATCCGCAAATTCAGGGCCTTCCTCGACGACTACGCCAGGAGCGAGGCCGAGGGACGCGCCTGCGCCCCTAAAACCAATTGCGCTCGGAGTGTCACCGTCTGCAACGCTCAGAGAGACGAATGCAGTTCCCGGAGTACGAGCGCTTGTTACGAAAAAAGCGAGGCATGCATCACTCAGGTAAGAAATCTAGGGAATCTGAAACCATACTATTCAAAGCTTCACAGGGTCAATGCAGAAAATGGACTTCACTTCCCGACATGGAGCTACTTCCGGCTCGCAATGCAGAAACAACGTGTGTTCCATTAGTTTCATATTGCAGCCACGTGCTTTTAAGAATGAGTTAGAAATTGACGTATTTCTGCCAAACGGAACTATGTGCATGATGATGTGAGCCCTGTCATACATATATTCTTGTGAGTCTCGGGGCTCATGTCTTGATGCACATAGTTCCTTTTGGCAGACATACGTCCAAATGTTAATTCTTCATTGCAGAATTCGATCCGGATGAATAACACCAAGAGGAACTACGATACTTCCCCGTGGCGAGGCGTACCTTGCTCCATATATCTATTAATTGACCTGCCATTTAAACCTAAGGAAAGGGATCGATAGACAGGGTGTTCGCAACAAACGCCTTATTAATCGATTCTTTACCATACCTTCAAATGGAGGAAGTACCGATAATCAATGATTCTCGCCTCGCCAATGATACTTACTTTTGACTGCACTCATTTTCACATGGTCCCCTCATTCGGCTGTATATTGTATGTGTCCAATTTCGGTACCCGAAACATCTATACCGGTTTTGAAGTCCTTGTTGGTATCTAAACACAGTTTTTTAGCGAAATTGGGCCAAAAAATGCAGATTATAATAATAAAAACGTATTTTCTAATGTCCGAAAAGTAGATGAATCTAATGATTAATTGGTCTTGAAATACTACCCATCTAAAATGTAGGATTTTCTTGAATTTTAGGTGAGCGTTTGCGACACGAAGAGGACAGAATGCGTGAAGCTTGGAGTGGTCGGCTGCGACGTTGAGAGAAGGAACTGCAGCCAAGGCGAGGGCCCTTGCAGGGCTCAGAGACAAAGATGCGCAGAGAGGATCGTGGAAGCCTGCAACAGCGAGAGAGACAGCTGCGGAGCCCAAAGCACAACGGCCTGCGACGCTCAAAGACAGAGCTGCGTCGCCGAGAGCATGGAGGCCTGCAACGGCGAGAGGCAGAGCTGCGGCTTGGAGGTCGCCGGCTGCGCTGCCCAAGTCGAGGAGTGCTCCAGCGCCCACGACGGGAGCCCGCGGAGGCCCTCGACAAAGGCCATGCTCACGGAGGCCTACACCGACATGAAACACACCGTCCAGTACTACGGCAACTCCACGCACCCGGGCGCCCATTTCGCCTTCAACTTCTTCCTCCTCACCGAACTCAGCCGCGAGTCTCAGGCCCAGGACTTTCAGGTAAATATCTCCGCTTATAAGTTTCAGCCCCTAAGCTGGACGTATTTCTGTCGAACGGAACTAAGCGCCAAATTGAGTTCCTTTCGAGGATTTTAGAATCCCGCATAGGACGTTATGTCAAACGGAAGGAAGCGCCAAGGAAAAGCATTGCGAGTTTAGGACGGAACGAGCATCGCGTTCGGCAACACCGGCCAATCCAAGCCCCCCTCCCTCTCCGTTCCTCCCCCTATGGCGCGGCGCTTAGTTACATTTGATAGAAATACGTTCACTTGTAATGGTGGCCGCAAGATCCGAGAAAAACGCAAGGATATTTTTTAATTTTAAATTATTTTCCGACTGAAAATGGCTCAGTTTTGAGTGGAAACATCCCGGGTTTTTTCGTTGGAGATTTCAGACTCGTTTCCCGGTTTCTTCCCTTGTTTTTCTCGTGAAACACAAACCATGGATTAGTTTCTCTGACTGTATTTGATTTTGCAGGGAGTGATAGAGGCGTGGATGACGACGATGCCGGCGGGGAAGTGGGCGAACTGGGTGGTGGGGAACCACGACAACCCGCGGATCGCGACGCGCTTCGGGGCGGAGGTGGTGGACGCCGTGCACATGATCCAGTTCACGCTGCCGGGGACGACGGTGACCTACGCCGGGGACGAGCTCGGCATGGAGGACGCCTTCATCCGCTGGGACGAGAGCGTGGACCCGTTCGCCCTCAACGTCGGCCGCGAGCACTACTTGGACGTCTCCAGGGACGGCTGCCGGGCCCCCTTCCTCTGGGACAGCTCCGTCAGCGCCGGCTTCTCCAGCAACCCGCGCACCTGGCTCCCCGTCAACCCAAACTACTACAGGGCCAACCTCCAGCGCCAGACCAAGAACGAGAGGAGTCATTACTGGGTAAGTCTGGCCCAACTCTCCCATGAGAGTAGCAAGTCCAAAAATCAAGTCCAGAGAAAACCGCTTCAGAAGCTTCTGACCGGAAAATTTTATTCCAAGAACCCTCCGTTCTTTGTCAAATGGACGTATTTCTGTCAAAAGGAACTAAGCGCCAAATTGAGTTCCTTTTGAGGGTTTTAGAATCCCAGATAGCGCGTTCTGTCAAACGGAACTAAGCGCCATGGAAAAGCATTGCGAGTATAGGACGGAACGAGCATCGCATTCCGGAACACCCACCAATTCAAGCCCCCACCCCCCCCTTTCCCTTCCTTCCCCCGTGGCGCTTAGTTCCGTTTGATAGAAATACGTCCAAATGGAGAATTTGCACGCAAAAATTGTATTGCTTCATCTGAAAGTGACTAACGAGCAGAGTTCGCAGTATTTTTCATAATTTTTTTCCGACATGAGAAACTGGAGAAAAATTCATTTAAAAGTGAGAAAATTTGCCACCTTGTGACGTCATTTTGGCGGCATTTCCTATTTAAATACATATATTTTAGCAGAATCGGTTATTTTCTCATATCTTCTCTTATAATTGCTCAATTTATGAATCAAGGGTATATCTTCGTGTTAAGTTCACTCAGTAGATTCCACTTCAACACGAAATTAATCAAACTTTAGACCCTTGCAAATTCTCCATTGCCCCTAATCGTCCGAAAGACTCCTAGAAATCCTTTGGATAATTGAAAATCCACTGATTTCTTTTCAATTACATAAGAAGGGTATTTTTCATTTTCATGCTAGGTTATTGTTAGGCAAGACAGCCGTGAGTGTTATTTTCTGCAATTAGTGCATGCTTTCGTGCTTGCGTTTTGGACACACAACAAACGCATTTTCAGGTTAGAAATTGGTAGAAGAGGGCGGCATTTCCTATCATGTTTTTTTTTTCTCTCTGGAAAACTAGTCAAAGTAATTTCTTGAAATTTCCATCTCAGTCAGCAGAATAATATTTTGAATAAAAGGTATAATGTTGACTTGTCTATCTTGGAAAAAATAAAAAAGGAGGAGGAATTTTGAAACATCGCAATTCTGATAGTGGTCTTGCACTTTGGCCTCATAAATGTATCACTAAAAATAAGAATTATTTTTGTCCACTACCTCTAAATTTACTTTCAATTTTCCACCAGAAACTACGATTTCTAGCTAATTTCAGAAAAGACTTAAATTCTATCAGTTAATAGTTTCCCTGCACTGAAAAAAAGATATTGGTAGAATTCACCATTTCTTTAAGCTGTATTTCACACACCGTCAATTTTAAGTCACTCCTGCCAAAAAAAAGGTAAACGTTACTATGTACTGATACAGGTAAGCATTCCTCTGGCAGAATCGACTTTGAATTCACGCCGTGTAAAATACAGCGTGAAGGATTGGTAAATTCTACCAATCTTTTCTTTTTAAATGTGTGCAGATAGGTGCGTTTGTATCGATAAGCTAACAATTGTGGCTCCTTATTTGAAGATAAAATTCAAATGAAGCCTTAGGTTAGTGAGATGTAACAAGATCGGGTTGATTCGACTCAAGACTGAGATATTAAAATATTGGGTTTGCAGATATACAGGAACCTGTTGCAGCTGAAGGATCACCCGGTGATCCAGTTCGGGAGCCTGAATGTGAAATCCACGCGGAAAATCCTGGTCATCGAGAGAGCCGACAAATCTAGGAACACGGTGTTCGTGACGGTGTTCAACACGGGGAGTTTCCAAGAGAACCTCCACCTGAGCCAGGTGCTTAACCTGCCCACGAAGCAACTCTCGGTCTACGCATCGAGCTCCAATAGCGAACGCACCGTCGGCGTCGAAGTGGACGCCAGTAGAATCCACCTCCGCCCGAAAGAGGCCCTCGTCCTCACCAATGACCACCCCCTCGTCCAGAAGGGCGCCATCGGGAACGACCGCATGTTATCAGGGGTCGGCAAACAAATCCTCCACCTCCCCCTCAAGATGCTCCTTTTCATACTCATAGTAGGTCTCATCTAAACTATCCTATTAGGCTTAAGATCTTAGATACATTAACCTGAAAATAATACTGATTACTATAGAGAGCATTCATATCCTAGACGACAACGATATTTCACAACATACGATCTATCTATACTGTCTTTCATCACGCATAACAGTTATGATTAGTTTAAGTAGCTAATGCAGTTAAAAAGTAGGAATATTGCGAGGTTCCGTTTTGATTCGAACCGTGCGACCAGAAAGTCCAATTGAAATTTGCAAAAGTAGGTAAGACCACTTATAGAATTCGTAAAAGTTGGACAATTTTGTAAGGACTTTCATCGAGTTGATGGGACTAAGAGGACAAGCATGAAATGAGGCCTCGCTTCTTTTTCTTACATTTTAATTGCTAAGAAAACAAGAAATACCTCTCTCTAAGACTTAAGTATGGCAAGCTTTAAAGTTTGCTCACATTGACCCATCTCAATGAAGCTTTTCAATGAGCTCCAAGTCTGAGTCAGTGAAGAGCTCAATAGTCTGAATCTTTTTTAGTCTAGTCATTTACAAGTTACGCGCAATCTGATGCATCAAGTTAGGAGTTAAAATTTACACAAATTAGAGGATAAAATCATACTTTTTTTGCAATTAAGTTCCTGAGGTTCTCTGATTAGTATGATTTCCTTACTATTGCAATCCAGGTATCTGGGAAAATCCCCCAAATCATTGGTTATCAATTTCTTAATATCTGAAATTTCATGATCGTCTTACAAGAATTATTGTAAAACTGAATTCATGAGAGGCATTAACTTTTCCAGAAAGAGAGGTAGAAAATGAAAATATCCGAAGGAGCCTTCTTGTTTTTCCCTCTGTAAAATGGTCCTTGAATGTTCCTTACGCTTAGTTTCTAATCAAATGTTCCTAGGTATTTAATCCGATTACGCATTTAAAGTTGTTTTGTACAAATCTTTGTCGAACAACAGCACATATTTTTGGATCTGGGATCACAAAAAATAACATCTCACTAAAGACAAGTATAAGATAAGTTGACGAACGTATGGATAAAGTTCTCGTATTTCTCGTACGATAAGTACCCACTTACTTTACTCAATTAGATGTAAACAAATGTTTTAGCAATGATTCATATCGTTGCTACATTTTCCACCGATATGTGTTATCAAACGTAACCGTGCCCACCGAAATACTTAATTAGAATAACTATTATTAGATAAATTTATAGATACATGTTTGACTGTCAAAAATATTTTGTAAATGCGATGCTGTAGCTTACATACGGCGAACATGAATTAAACGCCGGAGGCAAAAAAAGTCACAAATGATCAAGTATGAACATACCCACCTATATCCTTACTTATACAATTGTATTTATGTTTTATCATCGTGAATCTAATGTGCCTCAAGTGTTAAGGATTGTTGCACAAAATCAACAGCAGACATAAATATGTACCACCGATTTAATTTATAATTTATTTAGAATAATGAAGACTTAAGTGATTAAATAATTAAATTGATGTTTCGATTATCAAAAATATATTGTGATTGAAATGTTATGCATCGCACAAAAGCACAGAATCAGCTATAGACGTAGATGGACCCACCAATTTACTTTATTACAATAGATGCACACACTGATGAAATCAATTGGAATTTTTTAATCATTGTCTGTTACGAATGATTGTGATAATGTAGTTTGAAGTGCGGTATGAAATGTGCTTGTGTCTTGTGTGGAAAATCATATCTTTGATACTTTCTCAAGAAAATTCCCGCCTGTTTTTGTTTCTGATTTTACTTTATTTTTTATACAAAATATGTTATGTATATTGATTCTTTGCCCACGTATATTGACAACCATGTATGTTTTGTAAATAAAGTATTTTCCTCCATCAATTTTTGTTTTATTATCGAAAATGTGTCCACAAGATAGATAGTAATCACCTGCGATAGTAATTGCATGTATTGCCTGCATTGAAACTCTCGCAACCATATTTTTGATCGTGTTTCATCTGCAAATCTTGTAAGGTTGCACTCAATTTAGCAGTGATAACATGACGACCAACGTGCGAAACCACGAATTTCCATTACGCTGTTTCGAAATGGCCGCATTATTTTATTTTTTCGCAAAAATGCCGAGCCAACTTTGTAACTTGAAATTTATGCAAAATATTCTGCTAGTAGAGAAGAAACATCAAGGAAGTTTCCAAGGAATTACGTCGAGTAGCTATCTAAAGAAAAAATAAGGAAGATAGGAAATCTGCAACGTCACAAATGGAAATCCGAGGTTTCGCACTTTGGTCATGGATAAACTCCTTCGAACTTTATTCCAACCGTCCATTAATCACAAACTGCGAAAATTAAACTGTTAAAATGGGCAATAATGAGTAAGCAAAACTGTGATGGAATGTTACTAGGTAATGATAAATTGTGCTTAAACGCAAAGTCTCTACGCCTGATAGTAACAATAGACCGCAAAAGACTCGTAACATACAAAAAAGAGAAATAAGCTAGCCTTACATTCAGTGGTCAGGCAATTTGCGCTACCGTTAACTCGAAATATTTGTAGCACGTGATTTAGTGTCTCAGCGTAAGATAATCGTCCCAAAGTAGCTTCATTTAACCTCATTAAATTTGATAAATTAAACAGATAGATGTCATAATGGACGTAAAACTAGAGCGGTTGTAATCAGTTCTAAACGCACTTGCTATATATGACGTCATCCAACTTGGCCGTGCTTACATTTTGTTCCTCCCACCTTCAATTTATTAATGGAGCTTAAACTTTAGGCTCGCTCTACTTAAATCTTTGATGAAACAAAGGGGTTCAAAACTGTGGAAGCTCGACTGCGGTGGATCACGTAAATCGTACGTGTTTTTCGATGGGCAGCAGCATCTCAGTCAAATTTAGATCATAGAGGCTTTTAGTTCCGAAAAATCTTATTACTTGTTTATTCTTGGTGCTATTCAATTAGACGCATTTAAACGAAAAGGAACCATATTCATTGAAAAATGAGCCCTTTCATCATATGTATCTTAGGGCTTATGATACAATCCTGATGTATATCATTTAGATTTAAATCCGTTCAATTGCCAGTATAAAATTAAAAGAATGGGTGTAAATCAGGGTAGCAGAAAAGTGGTCAACAAATACCATCAAATTGGTGAAAAAATTAATGCAACAAAAGTTAAAGCACGCAAAGTTGTTACAACTAATAGGCATTTACTGATTTGTGGCTGAAACCGTATTCCATCTTTGATTAGGAACTTACGATTGTGCCGATTGCTATATTGATCATTGATTACGCATATCTTTAGTGAGGTGTTTGGGTCAAGATGTAGTGAAAAGGGACCACGCCCTTTGCAAAGAACAGAACGGATTGTCAACGAGGTCATACCTTTTTGTAAACATTATTAGCGGAGAATTCAGAGAGGTTTTTTTTTTTTTTTTTTTTTTTTTTTTAATATATTCGATGTTATATGCTATTGCAGAATTATATACAATTAGAGGCCTATGGCCGCTACACGGCCGCCAACCACTGAGAAAGCTACAGTAAAAAATAGTAGAACAACCACGTTCAAGTTATTTAAGAGATGAATGGATTCAAAAGCTGACGAATGCATTCGAAAGAAAGCATATTCATCTCTCCGATTGCAACGTTGTGTACCAATTTCCATGTTTCATTTTTGTACACCGTTTTAAAGAGCTACACACTGTTTTCCCACGAATTTTCCGACATGATCTGAAATGTAAGCATCGAAAATTTCGACGCGATATTTTCGTTCATTCTATTTTCTATTTATGTAATAAAACAAAATAATTAAATATCCTCCGAGTTTCTGCATCGTTACAATGAGAACACATATTTTCCCTTCACTTGCGGTAAAAACCGGAGCAGAGAGGCTAGCATGATGACACGTAATCCTAGTTTAACGGTGGCTTTAGCGTCGCACGAGCTAGGGAAGGGAAGGGTGGAGTCATCGTTGCAGTGTGACGCGCCTTCCATTCGGCTAGCGGCAATTTGCCTACACCCATGGGCGAATAGTTATCTCGTTAAGCTTGCCGTTAATGAAATCAAAAATCGACGCCTGCACGCGGAAAAAAGTGCTCTTATCTCCGATTGCAACGTTGCAAATCTCTACTAATTGTTTTTATTTTTAATAATTTTTTTTTAAAATAAAAAACTAGCTACACACACTTTTTGTAGTAGTTTCCGAGAAATTCCCAGAATGATTTGAAATTTAATCACAACAAATTTCGATGCGATATTTTCGTTCGTTCTTCTTATTAAATCAAAATTAATTTTACGGGAATCAAGTTTTAGAATCGGAGCATCGTTTAAACAGCGTCCGATTTGCTGAATGGTTGCAATTAAGATACTTATTTATCCTTAAATTGTGGCAAAACCGGGCAGGGACCGTCAAAAGAAATGACGCATGGTTTTAGTTTTGCGGCGACTTTAGCGTCGCGTAAGCCAGGGGAGGGAGCTCAGTCGAGGGAGCCCGTGGTCTAGTAGTTATCGCAAATAACTGTCGCATTGCGTTTGCGTTGTACAATGCGAGAAGTATTCATGCAGTCTTGCAGGCGCTGATATGAGTTTGACACGGACTACGCCGTGTTCGGCGCGATTATTCGAACTCGCGTTAGGACAATCGCTGCATCGAAAAATGGGACATAAAAGGCCCATGTTGTGTTTTGACGCCGTATGAGGAGTCCAACGTTGCCTCGTTTCTCCCAATAAAACATTTTTCCTGAGAAAAGTTAGAAAGGTTTTCTATGTTTGCTTTTTTAGATTGAATGAACCATTAAACAAGTTAAGAATTTAAGCACTCTGATACATGATTCTTCAACAGAACTTCATAGAGAACACGATTCGCGCAACGAAAACTATTGAAATGAACATTTTATTGCTGGTTGGTTTTCAGTTTCCGTTTTCCATTTTCTATGTTTTGGGATCTAATGGAAACTTGGTGGAGCTACGGAGAATACGGCCGTTTATGCATGAGACTTTTTTCCACCGAAGTAACCTTGTACCTACAACTAGAAAAGTAAGTTGGACCTCCAATCCACAATGAACATTGTTAGAGGATTCATTCTTTTCACTCCGTCATCTCTATTTTTCGTGACAGCCCGAGTAACATAAATGTTAAATTTTGACTTTCAAAGAGCGTAACAAAATGGATGACATTTGCGACTTAGGAAACTTTTTCTTTCTTATCAAAATGAAATTAAAGTAGAATTGATGTTAAAGAGGTCATGAAAAAAATTTGCATTAAAATTTTGTCAAATTCTAAAAATCAATTATATTCCTACTGAGCATAAAATTAACAAAAAAAAAATCCAACATGCAAATATATAATTTTGAGTAATATTAGTATTAAACTAAAACTTTATACTAAAATAAGGTAATTCAACAAATTTGAAAATGTAGGATGGCATTTACAAAAAACTAAAAAGGATTTCCTGACTCGAGTATTTTAACAGTTTTTTCAAGAGTTCACTTTTAAGAATTCAAAGGCTCCTTAACTTTTCCTTAAACAACCAAAGCTACTAGGGCCTTGGAGACAATTCTCCCCCTAATTTTTCATGTTTTTTTTTTACATCCTATCGACATACTGAACTGCATGTCACAACGACATGGACATAAATAAGGGAAGTAGGTTTCCTTGAAACGTTTTGAAAAGGAGGATATGAATGGAAAGCTAATTAGTGTGCGTGAGTTTCCTTGGATGGACTCAATGTTGAGCCGTGATGGGAAAGAGAGCGGGAAGTGCATTCCTGTATGAGCCACGGTTGGCCCATGCTTTGATGTGTCTCGAGGTTCATTCCAACATGCACTTACTGCTCTCTTGGCTATGACGGCAGTGATGAGGATCTCAAGCACTTGACACTGACAATGAATTAAGTGCCGCCCGATTCCGATTGCCAATATTTTCTAGATCATGGCTCACAATCAGCTTCGAATCTTTCATTAATAACCGTGCTCCCGCTCCACCCACCACCAACGCACAGAGGGACCGAGATTCGAGCTATCGAAATAATTAACTAAAACTCAGAATCTTCATGTTTATTCCGCCACATAATACATTTTAAGGAGTATTTGGATTGCATTTTGCAAAAAGGAACCAATAGCATTCCAATGTCGCTAAGATGGTGCAACTTTATTTACCTCGCAAATATAAACTGATCATCTAAACAACTTTCATCTTTACTATACTAATCAATTATGAATTCAAGGCAAAAATTACCTTTGTAAATTTAATTTTTTGCATGACTTGAGTAATTTTCTTACAAAGAATTTAAGTTGCGCGATTCTGGCAACATTGGATTGCTCTTGGTTCCTTTTTGCAAAATGCGATCCATTTTAAGAAGAGTATCGAAAGGGGCCGTTAATGGACCCATCTCCAATTTCCTCAACGCTATGATTCTTTTATCATTGAAGGTCTTTGACTTACATAATACATCATGATTTGATCATTTTCGGTCTCTATTTGGGCCTAATACGGGTCTGAATAGGGCTAGATTAGCGCTCACAGGCCCTGAGTGCTGACGGGCACAAGGAGTCCGCACATTTGCGTCGACGGTAAAACTACCAGACCACGTATCTCGTTTGCGGTGTTTACAAATCTCCGCTGCAATTTTATTTTTTATAAGGGAAACAAATGAGTATTATATTTTGATTTTTTTTTTTTTTTTTAATTTTTATTGATATTAACCAATACAATAAATGTCACTACTACCTAATTAACCTAAGGTATCTATTGACTATTTTTAATATTAAGTTAAAGTTTTAAAAGTAAAGAACGTATAATAAGTATTCTAATACGATACTTATTATTCTAACTAACAGTATTTAATACTGCAGTTGTTGTCTGAATATTCTGCAGTTGTTGTC